TCCGCGACCCTCAGATTGTGAATCGAGCGCCTTATCCACCTGGCCATGCCGGGCACTACTTTGAAATAAATATTATGTTGAATCCTCTGTTACTAAATGAACCCATTTCATCGTCCCAAGATTAACTTAGCTTTACATGAATATACCACACTAATATGTATTGCCTTAACACAGTGATGTGATTTTAAGCTAAAAATGTCAGGCAGACGTAGAACCAGATAGACGATGTTACACTGTGAAAACCAGTAACGTGCCATGATACTTGTTGGTGTAACTAGATAGATGATGTCATACTCTGAACACCAGTATTGTACCATGATGCTTCTTGGTGGAAGTGGATAGATGAAGTCATACTCTGAACACCAGTAGCGTGTCATGATGCTTCTTGGTGTAACTAGATAGATGATGTCATACTCTGAACACCAGTATTGTACCATGATTATTATTGGTAAAACTGAGTAGATGATGTCATACTGTGAACACTGGGATTACATGATAATGCTTTTTGTGGAACCAAATACACCTTGTCACACTATGAAGACTGGTATTGTACTGTACAATGATGCTTCTTGATAGAACTGGATACATTATGTGATGATGTGAACACCAGTATAGTCGCATCATATTCCATGTTTGGATTTGTTTTAATACCAAGTCTGAAGAAACAGATATATCATGTCATATTATAAATACCAGTACTACATTGTGATGCTTCTTTTATAGAACTAGCTAGATGTTGTTACAGTATGAGACCAGTATCGCACCATGATGATCCTTTGTGAAACTAGGTAGATAATGTCACACTATAAACACCATGCTTACACCACAATGATTCTTAGTAGAACTAGCTAGATGTTGTTACAGTATGAGACCAGTATCGCACCATGATGATCCTTTGTGAAACTAGGTAGATAATGTCACACTATAAACACCATGCTTACACCACAATGATTCTTAGTAGAACTAGCTAGATGATGTTACACTAAGAGTCACAGGATTGCACCATGATACTTAATATGTGAATTTGTTCCATCATCAGAAAGCCAAAGAATAGGATAGCTGATGCCATTCTGTGAACATCAACATGATTGCACCATGACACTTGTGGTATGAGCCTTGTTTCACTCCAAACACGAGTCAGAACTAAAAAAAAAATCGATAAACGATGTTACATTATGACTAGGCATTTAGAATGGACGTGATTAATTAGCACTAGCATTCTTGGATCAAAAATCAAACATGTTTGATCTAAAGTGAATACTTTTCTATTTTCTTCATAGAAAACGTATGTTTACTATCTTACAATAGGCGATAGTGCTGAATACGTTTTTTAAAGTGTATATGAATCTTACTTAGTTTGAGCATTTCAAATTAAAATACTTTGAAATTCATAAAGTGTTTTTTTGTGTGTAAAAGTTGAGAGTCCTTTGAAATTTAACGAATTATTAAAGCAAGAATTGGTAAGATTAGTAAATTTGGAGATTTTTACATTATTTTGTGTTATATCAGAGCAAAACATGAATTAACAAAAGCCAGAATGTATCACTTTAGAGTGATTTCTGTCTAGGCATTGCAAATAACCTGCATGCCTAAACTATACCCTTGTTCTACAATGTTCTAAAACATCGCTAAATTCAACTTTTACGAATTTCAAGTTCCCCAAACTGCTTTTAATGGATGTAGCGAAAGCAGTACAGTACATCTCATTTTTAAATATTTTGTTTAGTAAGTATTTTTACCAGTGGAGCTTACTGTCTGGAAGTAAAGTGTGAAAATAAAAGTATAAAATCTGAAATCGCGGTTGAATGTTTACAAACTAAAACGCGAGAGAATTTAGGGTTAATTAAAAGCACTAAGATTACTTGAATGAATAAAAATAAGAAGAAAACTGCTTTAAGTTTCCTACCAAAGTGACATAATTTTCGACTCAATGTAAAATGTACTAAAAAAGCACATACAGATGTTAATTCTACGCAGTTTACTTATTGATGAGATCAGAATAAGAAAACATAAAAACTCTGTGCTCTGTTTCATCCTATATACGACTCGTAGTCTTTTGATTTGCACTCAAGTTTTGCTGTCTTCTGTATATTTCTGTGGAATTAATATCATCACAATTAGACAGACATTTTAAACGTAGTTTTGTAAATTAGTATTTTTAGTTTTACTTGTTAATGTTGCGTGAAACTCGTCACCGAACATGCTCCCGTTTTAGCCGTGAGGGCGTTACAACGTGAAAATCAATTTCATTGTTCATTGGTAAAAAGGGCAGCCCAAGAGTGTGCAGTGGGTGGTAGTAACTAGTCTACCACCTCAAAATTATGGACACCTAGTGCAGATGGTCCTCGAATAGCTTTGCGCGAAACTCAACAAAAAAAAATGCTAATATACATAGCAAGATAAATAGAGACAACGTCGTTTAGAAACATCAGTTTTCAGAGCGCAAACATAATTTATTGTTAAGCATTTATTACACAAATAGACAGAAGGTCAAGTTATACCTTTAACATGCACACACAAGGAGAAACGGGCACAATATAAAGACACATCATGGAGGAAGGTTATTAAAATATTAAATAACTGAAATTTAAGAAGAAAAAATGTGCACCCTTATAAGATTTATTTTTATCATCGCATATTCCTTTCAATGACTGTAGCCATAAGCCTTGGGAGCTTCAGTTGGGGCCTCGGTTGTAGTGGTAGTAGTTGGGTGATAGTTATATTTTACGGGGGCGTAGCCATGGTGAGGAACAGCATGAGCTATAGCATGCACAGCAGGCTGATGGTAGACAGGGACGTGGGAAGCGTAAACAGTAGGCTCGTGGTAAAAAGGGGCATGCACTTTCACTAATTTAGGTTGTGGGTGGCTGTAAGCCTTGACGGGGGCTTCGTACTTCACTGGGGACTCTTCGGCAACGATTTCAACATCAGCTGGGTTGGCATTAGCTGTGCCGGGTTCGTTCGTCTTGATTACGGGACGGAATCCAGCTTCATCAGCAACGTACTCAACCTGGCGGTAGATACCGTTAGCGTCACGGTAACCGTAGGAACCCTGCTTGTTGCCATAGCCATCTCCGCTCTCGCGTTGCCACAAGGAGTCGCTGTAATCATTCTGAATTTCGTAGTTGAATTCGTATGGCTGGGGTTTGTCCTAATAGGTAACCAGGGAAATTGTGTTTTATTACTTTGTACAGGTTATAATCGCGTACAACTGAAAGTTTTAGAAACGAAAGGTGCGTTATCAGTCAAATGTAATAGAAATAACTGAAATTTTCATAGTTAATAAAATAAATTAATAAATACATAATTACCTTATTTTCCCCCACTTTTAGTGTTAGTAAAAAATCCATATTCATAATATCGGAAGCCAGTCGATAATAATTAGAATGAATGTTTATGGCGTAGAGAAGGAACTCTCTAATTCACTTCTTCCTCTTTGGAAATTCGAGAAAAGGATAGAAAACAAATTATTATTTTACTCGACTATGGATAACTGTAAACCTACCTCAACTGTTTGTGCGTAAGTTGGAGTATGGTGAGCGTAGGCTGGTGCCACGACCTTCACAGCTGGAGCATGTTGAGGGTAGGCTGGTGCCACGACCTTCACAGCTGGAGCATGGTGAGCGTAGGCTGGTGCCACGACCTTCACAGCTGGAGCATGGTGAGAATAGTTTGGTGCCACGACCTTCACAGCTGGAGCGTGACCATAACCAAGTGGAAAAACACCAGCGCGAACGACCGCTATAGCCAAGCAAATGATGACAACCTTTACAGAATACAACGATGTCAATAAGACTTTGCAGTTAATTTAATCCTTCAAAGATTTGGAGCTTTTGTAATCAGAGCGATTAACCTCGTTTATATACCCTCCACATCAAACATTAAAAAAAAAATGTTTTAACTTACGTGGTAAACAACTTGCTAAATTTTTTCGTCCTTTATCTTCATTCAAACTAATTTAAAACTTTATTTTACGACGAAAACATGACTACCTTTAACCCGTAATTCCTAAATTTTCGTGGTTTCATATCAAAATATTTTAGGTAACAATAAATAACTCTCTCGTATTTTTTCATCTCCACGTTTAATGTGTGAAATCCAACAAAGTGATATAAGTGCTAATAGTCGTCCCTAACTTTGACATTATAGACTAGAGCGAAGTCAGCCTTCAGAGATTTATTAATCATGGCGATTAAACTAATTTCTATAAATTCGATCCGCATGCAAGTAAGACCGAATAGTGGGATTTAACCTTCACTCTTATAATGCACCCACGGCCCGAATCTAAAAATTCAGAATTCCAGCTAGACAAGATATTTTTGTGTGTGAATACTATCTGCCTCATGTCTTTTTATTTTGTTTGTAATTAAGCACAAAGCTACACAATGGGCTCTCT